AAACCATCTTAAACAGGCAGACGACTAAATGAAAGGGTCCTAAAATCAAACCAACAACTCAGGGTCAATCAACAATTCTGTAGCATTAATAAACTGAAGCAGCGAATACTAGAAAGACTATAACAACTTATCAATGAGCCAAGTCTTTGATGAGAAACGCACCCAACGTGTATCGTAAATTTTCTTTTAATGACTGTCAATTCCCTTGAGCATGGAATTCACTCCACCGTGCTTCGTTGCAACCAGTCGAAATACAGATAGCAGGTCGCTGACCAGCGAACAATGGAGATATCCTAGTGTTCTAGTATGCCAAAGCTTGCAAAGTGTACGGTCATTCAATCTGATGCGCACCTGTGGCTCTAACGCGTTTTGATCCATCTAATAGCATACCAAAAATGAGCACTAAAGCATTGTATCAAGATGTTTTTCTCTGGCGAACACGTGTGGGCCAGGATGCGCGTACTTCTGGTAAAATACTGATGCAGTCGTGTCTAAGGTGACTGTGTCTGTGCAGGAAGCCATGAAAAGACGGGAAGAAAGGAGGCAAAGAACTGAAGCAAAGCAAACGAGGTACTACTCTTCAGCCACCCTGGTAAAATCAATGCATGGGTAGAAGACGTATGAAGAAATGGCACAGTAGGAGCTTCAGGATGGGCAATGAGACTTTTGTCAGGATAACAGCACAATGGATGGGATGAGAACTATAATCTCCACTGAATTCGTGAATGATGCTGAGTGTATACATAAAAAGTATTTCATTGACTTTCAAATGACATAATACATGCTACTTTAGTCGAAGCCGTGCAGAACACTGCAGAAACATGAGTTAACAACTGACTTAGTTACTGATGGCAATTCAATACTTTTATGACTACTCAGAGGCCCGCATGTTTGATGAATGGCAAGAAGGCGATGATTTTTAGAGTATGTGCTGGACTCTACCAAGGATGCGAGTATTCTTAAGTTTCATGAAATAGTTTGCAGATGTAGCTAAGTCACGAACTGTCAACAAAAATAAAAGTCCACTGAACAGCTGTTCGCATAAAGAGGCTAACAAAGTCCGGAAAACAGCAATCTGGTATATCTTTACTTGTGAACTGCTTCAGATCTAAATCGAGAAATCACTCATAACTGTAATAGTTTGCGCATGTTATCAGGATGTAATTGTGACGGATCTTTGTCGCAAAGCCACGTGACCAGTTGGCCTGAATATACTGAACACCAGATATTGCAGATGTTTAGACTCTGATCCGTAAAGTCTATCTGACTGACTGAAGATCAGATCTGTTGGAAAAGTCTCCTACAAGGGTTACCCTCAAACAAAATCAATAGCGAGCTACGTAAATAAATGAATAATTTAAAAAAAACAGTGTCATTTGGAGAAGTGACAAATATAAAAGACTTGTTCTATAGTCTGTGATTTGCGGAAACGTCCTTTTAGAAAAAAGACTGTCAGTCAGAAACTTTGCTATTTAAACTTT